TATTCTGTCTCTCACTGATCAAATCAACCTACCATTAAAATTATAGACTGATCATGTTTTTGTCAGTGGGCAAACGTACAAAATCAGCAGAGGATCAAATACTTTTTTCCCTCACTGTATGTTAGTTCTCCTAACCGTCTATGTTAGTTCTCCTAACCTGCTACATTAGTTTTCCTAACCCGCTACACTAGTTCTCCTATCCAGTTACTTTAGTTCTCCTAACCTGCTATGTTAGTTCTCCTAATCAGCTACGTTAGTTCTCCTAACCTGCTACGTTAGTTCTCCTAACCTGCTACGTTAGTTCTCCTATCCAGTTAGGTTAGTTCTCCTAATCAGCTATGTTAGTTCTCCTAACCTGCTACGTTAGTTCTCCTAACCTGCTACGTTAGTTCTCCTAACCTGCTACGTTAGTTCTCCTAACCTGCTACGTTAGTTCTCCTATCCAGTTGCGTTAGTTCTCCTAACCAGCTATGTTAGTTCTCCTAACCAGCTATGTTAGTTCTCCTAACCTGCTTTGTTAGTTCTCCTAATCAGCTACGTTAGTTCTCCTAACCTGCTACGTTAGTTCTCCTAACCAGCTATGTTAGTTCTCCTAACCTGCTATGTTAGTTCTCCTAACCTGCTATGTTAGTTCTCGTAACCTGCTACGTTAGTTATCCTAACGTGCTACGTTAGTTCTCCTAAACTGCTACGTTAGTTCTCCTATCCAGTTGCGTTAGTTCTCCTAACCGTCTATATTAGTTCTCCTAACCAGTTATGTTAGTTCTCCTAACTAGCTATGTTAGTTCTCCTAACCTGCTATGTTAGTTCTCCTTACCAGCTATGTTAGTTCTCCTAACCTGCTACGTTAGTTCTCCTATCCAGTTACGTTAGTCCTCCTAACCAGCTATGTTAGTTCTCCTAACCTGCTACGTTAGTTCTCCTATCCAGTTACGTTAGTTCTCCTAACCTGCTACGTTAGTTTTCCTAACCTGCTACGTTAGTTCTCCTATCCAGTTACGTTAGTTCTCCTAACCTGCTATGTTAGTTCTCCTAACCTGCTACGTTAGTTCTCCTAGCCTGCTATGTTAGTTGTCCTAATCAGCTACGTTAGTTCTCCTAATCAGCTATGTTAGTTCTCCTAACCAGCTATGTTAGTTCTCCTAACCTGCTTTGTTAGTTCTCCTAACCTGCTTTGTTAGTTCTCCAAATCAGCTACGTTAGTTCTCCTAACCTTCTACGTTAGTTCTCCTAACCTGCTATGTTAGTTCTCCTAACCTGCTATGTTAGTTCTCCTAACCTGCTATGTTAGTTCTCCTAACCTGCTATGTTAGTTCTCGTAACCTGCTACGTTAGTTCTCGTAACCTGCTACGTTAGTTATCCTAACCTGCTACGTTAGTTCTCCTAAACTGCTACGTTAGTTATCCTATCCAGTTGCGTTAGTTCTCCTAACCGTCTATATTAGTTCTCCTAACCAGTTATGTTAGTTCTCCTAACTAGCTATGTTAGTTCTCCTAACCTGCTATGTTAGTTATCCTTACCAGCTATGTTAGTTCTCCTAACCTGCTACGTTAGTTCTCCTATCCAGTTACGTTAGTCCTCCTAACCAGCTATGTTAGTTCTCCTAACCTGCTACGTTAGTTCTCCTATCCAGTTACGTTAGTTCTCCTAACCTGCTACGTTAGTTTTCCTAACCTGCTACGTTAGTTCTCCTATCCAGTTACGTTAGTTCTCCTAACTAGCTATGTTAGTTCTCCTAACCTGCTATGTTAGTTCTCCTAACCTGCTATGTTAGTTCTCCTAACCTGCTATGTTAGTTCTCGTAACCTGCTACGTTAGTTCTCGTAACCTGCTACGTTAGTTATCCTGACCTGCTACGTTAGTTCTCCTAAACTGCTACGTTAGTTCTCCTATCCAGTTGCGTTAGTTCTCCTAACCGTCTATATTAGTTCTCCTAACCAGTTATGTTAGTTCTCCTAACTAGCTATGTTAGTTCTCCTAACCTGCTATGTTAGTTCTCCTAACCAGCTATGTTAGTTCTCCTAACCTGCTACGTTAGTTCTCCTATCCAGTTACGTTAGTCCTCCTAACCAGCTACGTTAGTTCTCCTAACCTGCTACGTTAGTTCTCCTATCCAGTTGCGTTAGTTCTCCTAACCAGCTATGTTAGTTCTCCTAACCAGCTATATTAGTTCTCCTAACCTGCTTTGTTAGTTCTCCTAATCAGCTACGTTAGTTCTCCTAACCTGCTACGTTAGTTCTCCTAACCAGCTATGTTAGTTCTCCTAACCTGCTATGTTAGTTCTCCTAACCTGCTATGTTAGTTCTCGTAACCTGCTACGTTAGTTATCCTAACGTGCTACGTTAGTTCTCCTAAACTGCTACGTTAGTTCTCCTATCCAGTTGCGTTAGTTCTCCTAACCAGTTATGTTAGTTCTCCTAACCTGCTATGTTAGTTCTCCTAACCTGCTATGTTAGTTCTCCTAACCTGCTATGTTAGTTCTCGTAACCTGCTATGTTAGTTATCCTGACCTGCTACGTTAGTTCTCCTAAACTGCTACGTTAGTTCTCCTATCCAGTTGCGTTAGTTCTCCTAACCGTCTATATTAGTTCTCCTAACCAGTTATGTTAGTTCTCCTAACTAGCTATGTTAGTTCTCCTAACCTGCTATGTTAGTTCTCCTTACCAGCTATGTTAGTTCTCCTAACCTGCTACGTTAGTTCTCCTATCCAGTTACGTTAGTCCTCCTAACCAGCTATGTTAGTTCTCCTAACCTGCTATGTTAGTTCTCCTAACCTGCTACGTTAGTTCTCCTATCCAGTTACGTTAGTTCTCCTAACCTGCTACGTTAGTTTTCCTAACCTGCTACGTTAGTTCTCCTATCCAGTTACGTTAGTTCTCCTAACCTGCTACGTTAGTTTTCCTAACCTGCTACGTTAGTTCTCCTATCCAGTTACGTTAGTTCTCCTATCCAGTTACGTTAGTTCTCCTAACCTGCTATGTTAGTTCTCCTAACCTGCTATGTTAGTTCTCCTAGCCTGCTATGTTAGTTCTCCTAATCAGCTACGTTAGTTCTCCTAATCAGCTATGTTAATTCTCCTAACCAGCTATGTTAGTTCTCCTAACCAGCTATGTTAGTTCTCCTAACCTGCTTTGTTAGTTCTCCTAACCTGCTTTGTTAGTTCTCCTAATCAGCTACGTTAGTTCTCCTAACCTGCTACGTTAGTTCTCCTAACCTGCTATGTTAGTTCTCCTAACCTGCTATGTTAGTTATCTTAACCTGCTATGTTAGTTCTCCTAACCTGCTATGTTAGTTCTCGTAACCTGCTACGTTAGTTCTCGTAACCTGCTATGTTAGTTATCCTAACCTGCTACGTTAGTTCTCCTAAACTGCTACGTTAGTTCTCCTATCCAGTTGCGTTAGTTCTCCTAACCGTCTATATTAGTTCTCCTAACCAGTTATGTTAGTTCTCCTAACTAGCTATGTTAGTTCTCCTAACCTGCTATGTTAGTTATCCTTACCAGCTATGTTAGTTCTCCTAACCTGCTACGTTAATTCTCCTATCCAGTTACGTTAGTCCTCCTAACCAGCTATGTTAGTTCTCCTAACCTGCTACGTTAGTTCTCCTATCCAGTTACGTTAGTTCTCCTAACCTGCTACGTTAGTTTTCCTAACCTGCTACGTTAGTTCTCCTATCCAGTTACGTTAGTTCTCCTAACCTGCCACGTTAGTTTTCCTAACCTGCTACGTTAGTTCTCCTATCCAGTTACGTTAGTTCTCCTAACCTGCTATGTTAGTTCTCCTAACCTGCTACGTTAGTTCTCCTAACCTGCTACGTTAGTTCTCCTAATCAGCTATGTTAGTTCTCCTAACCAGCTATGTTAGTTCTCCTAACCAGCTATGTTAGTTCTCCTAACCTGCTTTGTTAGTTCTCCTAATCAGCTACGTTAGTTCTCCTAACCTGCTACGTTAGTTCTCCTAACCTGCTATGTTAGTTCTCCTAACCTGCTACGTTAGTTATCCAACCCAGCTTCCAAGTTAGTTCTCCTAAACTGCTACGTTAGTTCTCCTAACCGTCTATGTTAGTTCTCCTAACCAGCTATGTTAGTTCTCCTAACCTGCTACGTTAGTTCTCCTATCCAGTTACATTAGTCCTCCTAACCAGCTATGTTAGTTCTCCTAACCTGCTTTGTTAGTTCTCCTAATCAGCTACGTTAGTTCTCCTAACCTGCTATGTTAGTTCTCCTAACCTGCTACGTTAGTTCTCCTAACCAGTTATGTTAGTTCTCCTAACAAGCTATGTTAGTTCTCCTAATCTGCTATGTTAGTTCTCCTAACCAGCTATGTTAGTTCTCCTAACCTGCTACGTTAGTTCTCCTATCCAGTTACATTAGTCCTCCTAACCAGCTATGTTAGTTCTCCTAACCTGCTACGTTAGTTCTCCTAACCAGTTACGTTAGTTCTCCTAACCAGCTATGTTAGTTCTCCTAACCAGCTATGTTAGTTCTCCTAACCGTCTACGTTAGTTCTCCTAACCTGCTACGTAAACAAACCATCAGTACCATAAGACTGGCATCAATCTTGTTATGAGGAAAGCTCCGCCTCATAGCCAAACCAAACGTGATTGGTTGGATGAAAACAGTAGGCAAAGTTTAGGTGTAGAGACAGAAAAATGTATTGTCTTACAGGAGAAGGTTGGAGGTGGGCGTTACATGGAGGTTGTGACTTGCAAGGTTCCCAGTTCAAGTCCCCATTCCAACCTTACCCAACCTTCTTAACTTATCACATTTCTAATCTACTAGCTTTATACGTTTCTAAACTTCTAACTGAACAGCTTTAAATATGTAAACAAACAAGCCTGGTGCCCTCCCCCCTGCTGGCACACTGGATAAAGATCAGGTCACAGGTTCAAATCTTGCCCATGAACAGTCTAATAAAATATCTGAATTACGGCCCAGATTCAATCAGTTCAGTGTTAACCTGCAATAATAATGTTTGAGTATTTTACTGTTGATAATACCCCAAATTACTGTATAAATTAGTTTTCCATTACAGTGTACCTCTGCTTTGTCTAACAGGTGAGCAGAAGATCCCTGTTATCAGTGAAACCAGGAATATGGTTGACCTCCAGGAACACACAGGAGACAACGGATACCGGGAGAAGATCAAGGGGTGGCAGCAAACACTATCGGAACGTTGTCACCAATGGTTACATGGGTGAGTCACGCTTCACGGCACATAAAATGAGAAGCAACATGTTATTTTTTAATGGTTGTTCTGTTCATCATACAGTGATTTATTTCATACACCAGATTGCACAACAAATTACGTTTCTCTTGTATATACAGTTGGTGATTCTCTTGGATCAATAAAAAAAATTAAACCTGACCTTTTCAAACTACGGTTTCTAATGATGAGAAAATCTAAAATTTGCCACATTTACAGGATTTGAGTGGGGACTATGTGACACTAAGGCGAGCCCTTACGGAGTTGAGGAGTTGCTTCCCATGGTGGATGAGAGTGACCAGAGCTATGAGAGAGCGGTCATCATCAAGAACAAACATTCTGGAAGGTTCTTGGCTATCCAAAATGGCTGCTTTGTTGGACTAACATTGTACACTGAAGACTGTAAATGGTACTTAGAAAAAGGAGTACATTGAAAGCAAAAAAGATTCAAGTGAAAATAAAAGCCAACTTGTTCAAAATATGTTTTTGTGTGAATATTCTTCTTTCAAAAATTATGGGAGTTCTATTGATGGGAATATTTACAACAGAAATTAATGAAGGAAGTTTTATTTTATTATTTTAGATTTTTTACTAGAATCTTTTCCTCTTGAGGATCTCCGGTTTCCAGTTGATTGGGTGGCTTTCTTCAGTCTGAAAGAAAAAACAATACCACCCTAGTCAGAAACAAGAACTTATGAAGCACTCAAAGTAATACTTATTCAGTTTCATTAGCTTAGCAGTATTTTTAGTGACTTTGTCATTTTCACTGTTTGAAGAAACATCCACTTTGTATGAGGTTGTAAATAAAAAAATCCACATCTCAAAACAACAAAAACCTGTGTAGATATACAGCACAGGATAAAAGTATCTCTTACCGCGGTGTCGTCCTCTTTGTACACCTTGATGGTCTTGTCGGCCTCGGCCGTGATCAGCCTGCTCTCTGAGTGGTCGAACATGCAGGCGAAGATTCCCGATTCGCTGTCCAGCGAGCCGGGCTGCACGGCAGCGTGGATACGCTGGAAGTTGTAGCCTGTCCGCCAGTCCCACAGGTGAATGGTGCCGTTGTCAGCTAACGGAGACAATAAAAAACCGTAAGGATTAGCTGTATCTAGATCAAGACGTCGGTATAGATAGACAGCAGTGTCTAGGTCCTAGCCGTTTATAGGATTTCCTATTACTTAGCCCTTCAATATCTTTGCTTCCAGCCTCTGCAGTTATCACTTTTTGTTTGTTGCCCATCCTTAGTAGTGCACCTTCGAAGCAACAATTCCCTTCAGAGTCATTCAATGTACTATGAATTGAAAGAATCTGACCCAATCATCATGACAGAGGCTCAAAACTGTCTTATTTCAATAGCAACATATATACACTAGGTCTGTTGGAAAAAGTGAAGGACGTTTTCATACCTCCTGATACCAGCACGCCGTCTGAGTTGACCGCCATTGCGTTGATGATGGCGTTGTGTCCAGAGAGGTTCTGGATGAAGTTGCCGTCGGGGAACGTCCACTGCTTGATGTTGTCGGCAGAGCCAGAGGCCAAGGTATACCTGTAACGTGCAGCCAACGTGTCATTATACAAATGCAATTAGCAATCCTATCATTAACTACAATTAGATAATAGAAGTTGACTAACTTGGGTGTAACATATGCATCATCATTAACAACATAGCAGGAATTTACGTACTGTCTGGGATGTAGGGCCAGTGCTCTGACAGACTTCTTGTGGTTGGTGAGTGTGGCTCTGGTCTTCCCAGCTATCAGATCCCATAGCCTGATGGTGGAGTCGTGGCTCCCTGGAACGGAAAGAGCGGGGTTGTGTTCAGAAGATCACAATGTAGCAAAACGTTTTGAAACTAACAATAAAACACTGTTCTTATTGGACAAGTTCAAGTGGTATCTCCTATTTTCTCCCTACTGAACATGAACCAGGAGAAAAGGTCAACATTTTAACAATTCTGATTTCTCCTCGCGCCAGCTCATAATAAAATGTTCAAGATGACAAGCCATTGATGGTACTTTGGAGTGAGTCAACTACCCAATATATGAACACAGCAAGGCAAAAGAGGTGCAATGTATCCGTGTCCGTACCGGTGATGATCTGAGGTTCGGCAGCCTGGCATCTGACTGTGGCCACTGTGTTGGTGTGTCCGGACAGGGTGTGCACGTTGGCTTTGCTCCTGATATCCCACACCTATAGACACAGAAATGTCATATTGAACTCCCAATACACTCCAAAATGTTCCACAGAAATAATGTTTTTGAAAGTCAAGCCAACTGGTCATTAGCAACACTTACCCTGGCTGTGGCATCTCGACTGCATGTGACCAGCACGTCGATGGTTGGGTGCAGGTCCAAGTCGTACACGGCGCTGAGGTGGCCGTGGTAGTGCCTAATCACCTAAAAAACGACATCATAATTGGAAAAACAATACGCCATTGAAACACGTGAAGTAGAGCAGAAATGAGTGGGCGTAACTATACTAAATACTTAACTACCGTATTTTCCGCACTATAAGCCGCACTGGACTATAAGCCGCAGGTGTTTTAATGTTTAATTACCATATGTAAGGGTTCGTGCACAGAGGGGATTGTCGGGAAAGAGACAAACTGTCTTGCTCTCGTTCTGTCTCTCGTTCTGTCTCTCGTACCACTCTCGGTTCCACTTTCACTTTTGCGCGCTACCTGTCTCACTCTTTTCCGGCCTCCAGCTTTTCCTGCTGGAGCCCGCCGCTTAAAGGTGGGGGGCGCGGACCGGTCATAGAGCCCATAGAGTTAAAGTTGGTGGACTGTAACCTGTACAATCCATAGATTTAGGAGGTATTCTAGTGGCCGTTAGCTGTAAAAATCCATAGATTAGCCGCACCGTTATATAAGCCGCAGGGTCGAAAAATTGGGAAAAAGGCGCGGCTTATAGTCCGAAAATTACGGTAAATAATAAATGGGCCAACAGCAGTGCATTGAAACACATCAGATAAAGTAAAGCAGAAATGAAAGGGTACTAGTACAGTACCTTGTTGTACTCCAGATCCCAGCACTTGACCTGCTTGTCTTCACCGCAGGAGAACAGGTAGGGGCTCCTGGTGCTCACGGCCACGCCGCGCACCGTGCTGATGTGTCCCGTTAAGGAGAGCTTTAGCTTACCACTGGCCAGGTCCCAGATCTGTCAGGAGAATGAGAAGCAATGGGGATTTAACGTCACGGTCAAACTTATAGCTGATCCCAGATCTATTACGAGATAAATGACTAAATGCCACCATTTGACAGACATTGAATAGATCAAATGGGTGCCCCAATACCCTTATGATGTCACTTCTTATAAAAGCTGCAATGTGTAACTTTTTGGGCGACCCAATCAAATGCACATAGAAATCTGAGTTATAGATCTGTCATTCTCATTGAAAGCAAGTCGAAGAAGCGGTATATATGTTCTATGTGCACTATTTCTTATGTTTCGTTTGTGTGTCTGTGTTTCGGTTTTGTACACAAGCTTAAAACAGCTGAAAAAACAATATTTTGGGTTATGGAAAATATATTTCACCGCGGTTTAGGTGGTACAATGATTCTCTGCACTACACATGCTTGTTTTGTCACAAACTGAAATTAGACTAACTATCAGAATTTTTGCAACCAGGAAATGGCGAAGTGATTACTACATAGTGCACCTTTTTTCTACTGTTTAGAAGTTACAGATCTCTCGGTCTCGCTCTGTACTCACCTTAATGGTTCTGTCTCCAGCGCCGGTGACAAACCACTGGTTGCCGGGTTCTACGGCAATAGACCTCACCCAGCCCAGATGACCACTGATGACCTGGAAGGGATAAAGCAAACCTGTATCAGCTACCACACAAAACAGGGAGCAAGTCAACACCCCTGAAGGTATCTTAACCTCATAGGCCCTACATAAAGATATTCTATGATTATTGTAGTACATTCAAAGGGATAAAGTTTGTGCACAATGTAGAGGAAATTCAGGAACCCTAGATATGACAAAATGATGTCCTTACCCGAAAGAGCTTCCATGGCGCGTGCCACTGGGGCTTGGGCATAGTGGGGGCTTTTCTGGCCACGAGGGAAGAGTTTTTGGTGCCGCCTCCTTCCAGAAGAGACTAGAAAGAGGACAGAAAGGGATTTATTATTCGTAGTGGTAGCATTATATCATACGAGACTGTTGTCACGTTAGTGGAATGTTGGTGCAGAAAGGTGTGTAGCAATAACACTAAGTATCAGAGAGCGTTACCCACCATAGCATGTGAGTGAGGAGCATGAGACCTCTCTGCCCCCCCTGCGTGTCGGTGAATGTCCCCGACACTGGCTGCTGTACGACTGGCGTCCAGCCTGCAATTACACAAAAAACTAAATGGATGCCGGATGGTCTCAAAGTGCACTCTTCTAAGATAGGCAACCCCGATTAGGGTCTCGTGTTGCTTGGATACAATAACCCTTTGATTATTTCTCTAACATCTGGGGTCTGTACAAGAGGTTATAGTGTTACAGTATTGTGTCAAAAAGATTGAACTATTGAATTATGTCTGTTGTCTTTTCCCTTCAACACATCTACCGTGCATCATCTGAAGTAAGTACCTGGCTTGTGATGGTGGCAGGGCAAGAGCCATGGCATGAACTCCCCCCTCACTGGGGTTCCTATGAATCTGAGTGTCCACCGTCAGAGCCACCCCTGAGGATGACAATACTCAGCATTATAAAAGTGACGTAACACCCCTGAGGATGACAATATGAACAGTAGTGTTGTTTGGGTATTGGGGTTAACCACAGGGAGGGTTCTCCACGTCTGGTCCTGGAGAGATACTGGGTGTGCAGGGTTTTGTTCCAGACCATTATTTATCACACTAGATTCAAATAATCATGATCTTCTGCCATGATTTGCTGAATCAGGTGTGTTCGGATAGGGCTGGAACGAAAGCCTGCACCCCCAGTACCTCTCCAGGACCACAGTAAGGGAACCCTACCGTAAGACTGTTTTAATTACCAGGTGCAGAGGGGTATGCGTGGGTCCCAGTGATCAAGTACTCTGGATCATCACCTGGAAGGCCAGAGGGTTATAATGAGAAATACTTGGAGGTTTTGAACTTGTAACAGTTTTAAAGTGCTCATTCATTGCCCATGAAATCAATAATGATTTGTCAATGATTGATGTTGACGTGATGGCATTCTTACCAGGTTGGGCATTGTTCTGATTGCTATGCATGTTGGATCCCAGTGGTCTGTCCTTTCCCTCTTTCAGAACGGGCATGTGTAGAACGGCACTGTAGTCAGCCCTTAGCTTCGCTGCCATCTTCACCTTGTGACTACGAATGGAAACACTAGTTAACTCAATTGAACATATCAATTGAACATATCAGAGCCTGAAAGTAGGGCTGGGTGAAATGGCCTAAAAATAATATCTAGATATTTTCAAACGTATAGGTGATTAACAATATATATAAACTTGTAGTTAAAAAAAAAAGCTTTGTTGTACAATTAAAAGGTAAAATACACTACATTTCAAACAATCAGCAATAATCTAATGTATTCAGCGCTTGTGAAATTATACAGAGGCTAAATATAAGCCTTCCACAATCATACGACCCTCTAATGATTACAGTATTTTATCAAAATAGTGTTACCTGCTTTTTTTTGGCTTGCAATGATCACTGATCTGGCTTTCAAGTCTGTCTATGAAAATGCCCTTTTTGTTACAAATTTAACCAGAACCATGCACAATGTACATTCACTAACAATGACCAACTTCTTGTAGCAGGCATTATAGCAAATGAACACAGGTTTCATAAACAATCTCTCAAGCACAAGCCCAAGTGCTAGTGAGTAGCCAGCTAATCATCATATTTACGGTCTAGCCAACTTGGATCTATTTGCTAGATAACAAGGTAAAACAGTTGAATTGTTATGAACACAACCTTCTGTACGTCTCCAACTGTTTGAACAGCATGCTAGCCTGTCCACTTTGTTCAGATGTTGAAATCAAGTGGCCTACCTTATTTCTCAGAATGAGTTGCCAATTCCTTATATTTATAAAACACAAACTAGACAGCTAGTGTAATAGTCAGTGGCTAAAATACTGCTAGTGGTACCGCAATGTTGCGCGTGACAGAAACTGAGCATTCATTTTCCAGAATCAATTTTCAATAATCCTCCCGTTGTAATAGGGTCTGCTCTTTGCACAACTTGAGCAGTTGACACATAAAAAAGGTATAGTTAGAAAGTTCTCCTCTATTACAGTAAGATAATGTCTCAATGTGTTTCAGTGTCCATATGAGCGATTCTGTTGGACCAAACCTCAAATACAAATAGCGAGTTGAAACCGCTTGTTGTCAGAGAGGAAGAAGTGATCTTTCATCTTTGTTGTTCTGAGTGGCAGGGGAGGAGCTTGCTGTGTGTGTAAATGGGAAGGCACACCTTCACAGCAGAAAGAGCGAAGGAGACGAGACCAAAAGACAACACGAGAACAAGTGGACATAAACACTTATAAAACAAACAAAAAATAGATGATTGCGATACAGGCATTTGGAATACCGTGCTAAAACATACATTGAAATTAATTACATATATCGCCCAACCCTACTGGAAAACCTTAGCCATTTCAGAGACTGAGCCTCTGTCCTGAATATAGCCAGAATAGATTCAGACCCTACGCTTGCTTACAGCTGCACTGGGGTCTAACAGGCTTCCTGTTTAGATTAAGACACTGCGGACGTGGCGCGAGATATGGCTTGGAAAACATAACTCGTTCCAGGGATGAGAAATGCGCTGTACTCTGAATTGTCCCATTATCCCAACCGTTACACCGAGAAGTTTGAACGACTGCTGTAGCAGAACCCACAGCAGCCATTTTGGAAGGGCAGTGTCAGCCAATCAGCTCCTTTGTTGTTCAATGTGACGTGCCACTCCATAATGGCTGCATGGCTACTGCTAGCTAGCTTGAAGATGAAAACGGCAGTTCACTTAAAAACGAGTCGTTCACTCTTCTCGACAGAACAGAGTGTAACTCACATACTTACACTGACACCCCAGAACACACACTTGTTTTCACTAACTCTCCTATGTGCACACAGTGGACTCTACCCACACCCCAACACATACATACACACACTACGTACGCCCACACACACACATAACATGCGCACACATGTATACTGACACCACACACTTACCACATACACTGCTGCTACTGTCTATTATCTATCCTTTTGCCTAGTCCCTACCTATATGTACATAGCTACCTCAATCACCTTGTATCCCTGCACATTCGACTCGGTACTGGTACTCCCTGTATATAGCCATGTTATTTTTACTCGTTATTCACTGTGTATTTATTCCTCGTGTTACTATTTCTATTATGTTTATCTTAAACTCTGCATTTTTGGAAAATGACCTATAAGTAAGCATTTCACTACACCTGTTGTTTACGAAGCATGTAACAAATAATATTGTATTTTATTTGATAATGGGACAATTCAGAGTACAACGAATTTCTCATCCCTGGACGGAGGTAGGTTTTCCGAGCCTTATCTCGCTCTGGGTCCCAGTGTCTTAATCTAAAGAGGAAGCCTGTCCAACCCGAGTGGTGCTGTAAGCAAGTGTATGGTTGGAAACTATTATGTCTATCCTGAACACACAGACAGACAGACTGGACCAACACACCCCCACCCAGCTTCTCTTTATCTCACACAACGACACAGAAACGAGTAGTTAGATGGCAGAATAAAGAAAGCATATATCCAAAACATGAGTACCTTGTTTCATCCAAGGAGACTGGTTTGGCATGGTCAGCTACAAACATATCATGAGTCCTCTTGAGGGACCTGAACACGAGCGTGTGCACAGAGTGCTTCTGCACATCCTGAAAAATGAAATACACGGAAATATTACTTTCGAATTTTTTAATTGCTAGCTACCTAGCTACATATTCATGATGCATGGTAGCTAGCCAAGTATATATCAACTCCACGATACCACATCCGCGGATGTAACTTACTTGGGCTAGATGTATATATACATACAGCTGATCTAACTAATATTAATTTTCCAAATTGAATACTTTCAAGTGTGCTTCAAATAGGCCAGGCATAACTTAACGTTGCTAGCTAGCTATCATGCTAACGTTAGCTACTGGCGCGTAAGCTACACCTGTTGTTATTTCAGCTTTACTGGCATAAAGATGCACGAAATAGCACATACCTCAGTCATTTCTGATGTTATTTAGCCAGATAGCTTGACTATCTATAAAAACTTTAGATAAAACAGATGTAGAAATGTAGCTAGATCCAGCTTGCTAAACAAACGCAGATGCTGTTTAGATGCACCGGAGGTAAACAACCAAATTCACGTGTTCATTTCCGGGTCAATTTTTCCCCATATAGCTGACGGTAAACGCCACCCATGGCCACATCAGTAACTTGTATGATTTAAGGATTAATTATGCTGTGCTGCTGAACCCTACACAATAACAATTCAGTGCTTATTTATAGTTTATATAATGCCAGTTTTTAATTCAAGATAGACAAGCTATGATGACTATCCTGGCAAAACTGCTATTTTATTTTTGGGGGGGTTTCAGACAGTTCAAAGTGTCTATTTGGATTTCATCCTGACCTTATGTTCTGAATATGTCAATACTGCATTTTGAAAACCTCTGGAAAAAATGGCACTCGGACCATGTTTGCCAAGCAAAGTACATAGATTAATATTTGTCTAATAGTCTAAATTCTAAATTACCCCCATTCAAGACCCACATCTGCATTCTGCAATTTTCAATGTGTATTTCGATCACAATCAAGAACAAACAAAAATCTCTTAATCTCAACTGTAGATTTTAGTCTGTTTGTGTTATTTCCCTGCTGTCCAATGCTTCAAAAATACGATTAAGCATATTGCAGCTAACATATTTTACTCAATATGAGTAACTGCCTTACAAGTATGGAATGTCTGTCAGAGACGTGGACTTCTAATCAACCAACATCGATACTACATTCCCAAAGGGATGAATGAAAGTTTTCCCTGATCCTACTTTCCATCTACTGGATGGAAAAGTGATAGTCAATTGATGACAGTTGCTGTTGTTTAACCTTACTTCAGAGATAGTAGCCTGTAGTACAGTAGTATGTTATTAAATACATTAATTTACTCATTTTGAATTTTGGATGACCCCATAAAAATGCTGATAGGAAAATGTAATGTATGTTGGGTAATATTGACATAATGAGTGGTCACATAGGGGACCTGCACAATGTACAAACAAAGACAAATAAACACCCACACATAGCCTAATACCAGTCAGCAGAAACCAACGCATCGACCCACAAACACACACCCACCCAGACACGCAAACGTGCACACACACGCACACAAGGCCTTTCTGAGATCCCTATGATTAGACGGGAGAAAGAGAGAGAGCGAGAGAGAGAGTATTTTTGGTCATAGTGTCAAATCTACCAAATAACATCCAAACATGGTTTTGTCCATGCAGTCTAGTAGATCACGTGACAACAATTACAAATGTTGTTCTCAAAGCATGTGTGGAGAACATTTGTCTTGAAAATGCCACACACCAATGGGACAACAACAGTATGGGTTGTAATTCCTGTACTGTTGGTATTGTAGGAAATAAAGGATTGACTGAGCCTTATGTTCAGGTACAGTGGGGGAAAAAAGTATTTAGTCAGCCACCAATTGTGCAAGTTCTCCCACTTAAAAAGATGAGAGAGGCCTGTATTTTCATCATAGGTACATGTCAACTAAGACAGACAAATTGAGGGGGAAAAATCCAGAAAATCACATTGTAGGATTTTTTATGAATTTATTTGCAAATTATGGTGGAAAATAAGTATTTGGTCACCTACAAACAAGCAAGATTTCTGGCTCTCACAGACCTGTAACTTCTTCTTTAAGAGGCTCCTCTGTCCTCCACTCGTTACCTGTATTAATGGCACCTGTTTGAACTTGTTATCAGTATAAAAGACACCTGTCCACAACCTCAAACAGACACTCCAAACTCCACTATGGCCAAGACCAAAGAACTGTCAAAGGACACCAGAAACAAAATTGTAGACCTGCCAGGCTGGGAAGACTGAGTCTGCAATAGGTAAGCAGCTTGGTTTGAAGAAATCAACTGTGGGAGCAATTATTAGGAAATGGAAGACATACAAGACCACTGATAATCTCCCTCGATCTGGGGCTCCACGCAAGATCTCACCCCGTGGGGTCAAAATGATCACAAGAACGGTGAGCAAAAATCCCAGAACCACACGGGGGGACCTAGTGAATGACCTGCAGAGAGCTGGGACCAAAGTAACAAAGCCTACCATCAGTAAAACACTACGCCGCCAGGGACTAAAATCCTGCAGTGCCAGACGTGTCCCCCTGCTTAAGCCAGTACATGTCCAGGCCCGTCTGAAGTTTGCTAGAGTGCATTTGGATGATCCAGAAGAGGATTGGGAGAATGTCATATGGTCAGATGAAACCAAAATATAACTTTTTGGTAAAAACTCAACTCGTCGTGTTTGGAGGACAAAGAATGCTGAGTTGCATCCAAAGAACACCGTACCTACTGTGAAGCATGGGGGTGGAAACATCATGCTTTGGGGCTGTTTTTCTGCAAAGGGACCAGGACGACTGATCCGTGTAAAGGAAAGAATGAATGGGGCCATGTATCGTGAGATTTTGAGTGAAAACCTCCTTCCATCAGCAAGGGCATTGAAGATGAAACGTGGCTGGGTCTTTCAGCATGACAATGATCCCAAACACACCGCCCGGGCAACGAAGGAGTGGCTTCGTAAGAAGCATTTCAAGGTCCTGGAGTGGCCTAGCCAGTCTCCAGATCTCAACCCCATAGAAAATCTTTGGAGGGAGTTGAAAGTCCGTGTTGCCCAGCGACAGCCCCAAAACATCACTGCTCTAGAGGAGATCTGCATGGAGGAATGGGCCAAAATACCAGAAACAGTGTGTGAAAACCTTGTGAAGACTTACAGAAAACGTTTGACCTGTGTCATTGCCAACAAAGGGTATATAACAAAGTATTGAGAAACTTTTGTTATTGACCAAATACTTATTTTCCACCATAATTTGCAAATAAATTCATAAAAAATCCTACAATGTGATTTTCTGGATTTTTCTCTCTCATTTTGTCTGCCATAGTTGACGTGTACCTATGATGAAAATTCCAGGCATCTCTCATCTTTTTAAGTGGGAGAACTTGCACAATTGGTGGCTGACTAAATACTTTTTTCCCCCACTGTAGGTATTTATTTTGTATTATAAACTGGGTTGTTCCAGCCCTGAATGCTGATTGGCTGACAGCCATGGTATATCAGACCATATACCACGGGTATGACAAAGCATTTATTTTTACTGCTCTAATTACATGGGTAACAAGTTTATAATAACAATAAGGCACCTCAGGTGTGCCACGGCTAAGGGCTGTATCAGGCACTCCGCGTTGCGTCATGCGTAAGAACAGCCCTTAGCCGTGGTATATTGGCCATATATAAGTTCTGATATCACATATATATAACATATATAACTTCTGAATAGCAGAATAATCATCCGGGGGGGGGGGGGGGGGGGGGGGGGTGATTATGCCTGGGTTGAATTCTGAGAGGATGTGTCAACGGGAAACAAAGTAACACTATTAGGTTGGAATGTGAAGTAGGAATTTACCCTATTAAAGAGAGTATGTGGTGTGTTTTTTCCCCTCTAAGACAAAAGTGCCCACCAAAAACAGGGTCATGTTCAGTATGGAAAAAACATACAGAAACAGAGTTAAATTATAAAAAATCCTGGTATGTCCTTTATGATGTTCTATTTCAGCAATAAGGCCCGAGGGGACCAGTGTATCAAAATAGCTTCTAAAAATCGTTATCTAGAATAGTTAAAAATAGTTGAACGAATTGATTGAGTTATGTCTTCCCAGCACAGTGCCTTTTCTTTAAAAGCATTTCAATGCCGCCACCAACTTCCATGCTTCTGCAATTTATCATCAGATGCCTATGTGCAACTTATCATATCCTGCTTGTTGTATTTCTAAAGAAAATGTATGTCATATAAATGGGTATCATATTTTGCGCAGTTACAAGCGGTACCAGGAATGGATATCAGGGAAAGTACAATAAAGAAATTGGCATGGTCTTTTAAATGCTAGACCCTTGTGTAACCAACGTGATTCAGTGCCTTGGCCTGAGACTTGAAGACTTGTGTTAGCTCCCTGAGGTATTGCCTTGGCTTTTAGCTCAGAGGGCTTACACAATCTTATTGCATTCAGACCACCCGGGTTCAGTTACACGTGCACCTTAGATAATGTAGTGGGGGCAGGGGTATCTAAAACCAGCTCAAAATACATCTTACATTTAGAAAAACATTTATTCATTGGTCAAACCAACCAGATCTAATAAAACTCCATAGACACTAGATCAAGTTTGTTCTAACAGAAGGTGCTAAATAGAAGAAGTCAAACCAATCTACCAAGATCCAACAACAGGGATTTGATCATAGATCATATTTTAGGCAAGAGGACAAAACACGAAATTGATTGAACCAATAAAACAAAGATACAACAAGACAGAGGGCCATTTCCCCAGACATAGATTAATCCTGGAATGCATGTTTAATAGAGATTCTCCATGTGCTTCTTAGTCCAGGACTTGGCTTAATCTGTGCCTGGAAATTTCAAGAAAGTTCTAGCTAAGACGATATTGCAATATGTGTTTTAGTTGTCTCCCAGCCCTCCAAACTGTTTAACCCCTCCGGTCTGCTGTCCGTCCGCCGCCGCGATCCTATTGGTGGGGATGATCTTCATGGTAGTCTCCTTCATTGAGTACCAGCGGCTCTGCCACGTGGCCCAGATGATGCCGTTGTCGTAGCCTGACTCGCCGGCGTCCTTCTCCGTGTATTTCCCACCTAGGGATGGAAAGATCGAAAGACAGAGGTGTCAATCAAAGGTTTGTTATAAGTATGAAAATAACAGTGTTGGGCCTACTCGTAAATGTGGCCTTCTTGGAACGATAACAGTAAACATTTCAGAGAACCCCCAAAACGGACATTCGTAAAGGTTGGTAGTGATTTGCATAAATGTATAACTCTTGTATGGTTCATGTTACTTGGAGAGTAGTGTTCTTTAAAAGGAAGACCGCTGCTCCACTCAGGAGGCCGGTCTGTTTAAGGCATGGCATTGCAGTGCTTGAGGTGTCACTACAGACCCGGGTTCGATCCCGGGCTGTGTCGCAGCCGGCCGCGACCGGGAGACCCATGAGGCGGCGTACAATTGGCCCAGCGTCATCTGGGTTAGGGGAGGGTTTGGCCGGCCGGGATGTCCTTGTCCCATTGCGCTCTAGCGACTCCTGGGTCGCTAGCACAGTCGCCAGTTGTACAGTGTTTCCTGTGACACATTGGTGCGGCTGGCTTCCGGATTAAGTGAGCATTGTGTCAAGAAGCAGTGCGGCTTGGCAGGGTCGTGTTTTGGAGGACGCATGGCTCTCGACCTTCGCCTCTCCCAAGTCCATACGGAAGTTGCAGCGATGGGACAACGCTAACTACCAATTGGATATCACGAAATAGGGGAGAAAAAGGGGTTAAAAGAAAAGCGAGAGTGTGAGAGTGTGCACCTGTGCGTGTCCTTACCCTGGTAGTATTTCCCGTTGAGGTGGGCGGCGTGGCATCGGTTCATCCACCAACCGGAGCCGTCCTGCATAGCACAGTTACCCTGGAACTTGTCGTTGTCCTTGTCGCTGGTACTAAACTGCATGCCGTTGTGGGACGTGTAGAACTTGTCGCTGGGGTCATCTCCGAAGTCAAAGCCTTCGAACGCGTCACCCGCATCACCGCCGAAGTAGTAGGCGTAGGTCAGGCGGTACATGTCGACTTCCGGACCCACTTTGAACATGGCGTAGTCAGCATGTCTAAAGAAATAAAATGATTAGCTATTTTTATAAATTGGTTTTATGCGTGTGGTTTTATTGAATAAATAAGCCAGTGAGAAGATGACAAGAAAGGTAGGAGCGGTGCAGGTCAGAAAGGCATTGGGTCGGATTTGAACCCATGCCTACTGTGGTGCATGTGCCGGGGTCCGCGGCACTAAGCATTAGACCACACAGGCCACAAAGTATTCATATAAAATGCAGCATATTAGCCTGACGGCTTGAGTACTGGCCTCCAAAACCAGTGTCACAAAGTAGAATACGTTGTTTGCTTTGATTGTGGAGGTCAGTTCTTTCAGCTATGTAACTTGGCACCAGAAAATCTATTCCGCAAACTAAAGTCCAGAGGTTTGTGTGGAAAAACATGTTATTTGAAAGTTTGACACCTCACCAAAGAAAAGGCTTACTGCTGCTTATTTCCACAATTCCTCATAAAAATGGCACTAAATGGCACTAAATATTTCAGCACTAAATATATTAAAGGGCGAATCCTAACTTCCACTTAAGTTGAATTTCAACTTAGTCTCTTCTTGATATTAATGACTAAGTGAAAAGTTGCCTTGCTGAAGTTAGGATTCACCCCTAAATATTTCATTAATTTAGTGGAGAGAATTGCGCGAGTAAATGTGTCATACAGGCAAGACCAATGATGCCAAGCCCCCAATAACTTTGAGGGGGAATTGATAATAGCGAAATATGGTATTTATAGCATTTCTAATGCGTGAAACCTAGACACCACAGAATTGGATTGGTAAGCATCCCAGTGGGTCAAGTTGGTTGCAATGATGTCATTATAACGTCCTTACAACAGGTTGGAGTGACATCATTGGAACCAGTTTTACTTGATGGGATAAGACTTCGAGCCGTTCCCACCACATTATGAACACCAGTTAATTCATTTTCTATTCAGGAGGGGGAATGTAGAACCTAACTGTGCATTAATAGTAGCCTTAGTAGCGAATTTAGTTGTACATACTTCTTGTTGCCCTGCCAGTCGGTAAGCTCGATCCTGAGCACGTATGGGATGGTGGACTGGGTGGAGAGCAGGTGCATCTTCTCATTGCCCAGCCAGAACTCGCTGGTGTCATCTGGGGTCAGGTAGCCGAAGCCCTCTTTATACTGGACCCAGTCCTTGTTGAAGTCCACACTGCCATCACGTCTCTGTGGAGATATATGTTGGACGGTGGTTATGATAATAATACAGTATGTGGTTCCAATCAGGTTTGGGTCAATACCATTTCACTTTAGTCAATCCGAAAACTTAAATCCCAATTGGAATGTTTACTTATTCAAATAGAATTGTCCCCAACCCTGGTTCCAACTTCCAATGGCTCAGTGGGTTGGAGCATGGTGGTGTTGGGGTTTGAATCCTGCATGGGCCAACCATAATTAATATACTATGTGTAGGGAAGAACACACGTACCCTCTGCAGGACGGTAAAGCCGCGGCCGAAGCTGTCGATCTCGCAGTAGACCAGGAACTGCTCCTTAGCCTTCAGTGGCTTCACGTAGTACAGACCGCTGGTTTTGGCACCCTTGTTGGCAATATCCTGGCAATCTAATATAAAAAAAACAACATGCCATGATCATGTTGTTATGTGTTAATAACAAGGACTACTGTTCCCATAGGACAATGCGCTATACCCAATGGTTTTGTAGTATTTTGATTCTGTTTTTAGCCTGTTCCGGGACTACAGATGGAAATGAGCTCTGGCACTATTACCTTGCTGATTATGTTGATTATGTTGATTATGTTGATTATGTTGATTATGATCTTGCTCATTGTTGATTATTGTCCCTTGTCCCTGGTAAAGATCCACTCTGTGGTATTTATTAACAGCCATTTTTGATCATTTAAATTAAAGCTATACCTATTTATGGAAGAATCACTTATAAATGCCAAGAAATGCTATAAACTAATTAATTAAACTAATCAAAAATGCATTCATATAACTGGATTGATACCCCTTACTTAAAGAATATCACTTATAAATGCCAACATATGATATAAACAAAATAATTCATTAACCATCCCTAAAGTGCATCCAAATAACTGGATTGAGACAAATCTGCTCAGCCTATATTGATTGTGCCATTGACTCGCTTCTGACTAAACAAGCAACAAGGACAAATGACGGGTATGTAGAGTGAATTCTCCAGGAGCAGGGTTGAGCAACCTCTCTGATGAAATGAGAACGACCTGCAGAACGTTGTTGATTTCACCTTTCCCTGTAGTGGGTTTGATTTCCACAGTATCCTTGCAGGGATCTTTGCATTTCTGATCCAGCTGAATGGACATCTGTTTGAGGTCTAACATCCTCTTCTTGTTGGATTCCAGTGTCCCTTGGAGTTGACTGAGAAAAAGAGGGGAACAGATTGATAATGTTTCTCAGGTGATTTGGACATAAACTTAGATTGCGATTTATATTGTAGGTCAGTGGGTGTATGACTTGACTATCAATGTGTTTGAAGTACATAGCATTTGACACTTGTACCCTTACTTAGTCCTGGTATTTCCAATTTTAGCAGGTATTTCGTTCCCAGCAGGAAAAACTGGTTCAAATAATTGTTTGTTGATGTCATTGACTGGTTTCAACCAGCTTTAGCCGCTGAGAGACATACGAGCATTCGGGGTCAATTCCAACTAAATGCCAATCAATTCCAGAAGTGAATTGCTCTCCTAAGGAGAAGTTCCAAGTCCAATTCTAAGTGAATTGAGACCAAATTAGATTCTTACTATATTTGCTCCTCCTGAGAGACGATGGTCTTCTCAAAGCGCAGGACATCATCCAGTATGCTCGATGACCTTTTGTAGTGGACGTCTGTGGAACAATCAAAATAGCTGCTTCAGTTACAGTAACCTACATGAATTACCAGAGTCTATAGTTATTTAAAATTAGCCTAACACCTGGGTGTCTTCAGTAGGGCAAACTGTAGAAAAACATTTTACAAAGGAAAACAAAAATATGTGCTCTTATTGGACGAGTTCAGACAGTTCCTCCCGGATTCACTCTGTTTCAAAACGTTTCTCCCTATTGAACACAACCTTGATGAAGGTTATAGACAAACTGTTTGTGAAGTGATGCAAAATAAATCACATAGCAATGAAAAGCAGAGTGTACCTCATTGATGTATTTCTTTAAAGTTTCGACTTTTCTGCTACTGACTTCTCCACCACATCTAATAGTGTTTATTTTGTGTTTATTTTTATTTTGTATTAGCTAGTTTAACAAATAACCCAATATACAGAAAAGTCAAATATCCCAAGATACAGAAAAGTCAAATAACCCAAGATACAGAAAAGTCAAATAACCCAATATACAGAAAAGTCAAATATCCCAAGATACAGAAAAGTCAAATAACCCAAGATACAGAAAAGTCAATTACCTGCACCGGACTTCTGATGTTGTGTTGTCGAATCCTTCATATAGGTGACTTTCTCTGTGGCCCCTGTGGTAAGGTTGGTTATTCTTTTCAGGATATCCTCCATTTCATCAAGGTCCTTGTCTACCACCGGCTTGTACTTGTTGAGGTAGTCAGCCACGCCACATGTCGTTGGGCAGTACTTGCCCTACAACAGGCACAGAACACAGATGCTTTAATTTTAACACTATGTGAGAGATGTGTCTGTGTCACAAATGACACCCCATTCCCTTTATAGTTCACTACTTTTGACCAGGGTGCATTGAGCTTTGGTCAAAAGTAGTGCACTTTATATGGACTAGAGTGACATTTGTGATGCATATTTATAATATATTGTTATATTGTGACAGTGGATGTGTAAGTATTGGAACATTTCATTGGATTCAAAGAAACTAGAAAATGTTTATTTATGTGTGTTCTTGAAGAGGCACCAACTAAATTGGTTGTAATACCCCAGCATTAACTACATATCATATGCTTGTGAGGACTATAATTTACCAACAAATCCATCTAAATAACAATGTCAATAAGCATACAATACAAAGAGGATGAAATAGTAAGATGGGGAATTTCTTCCAGTACACACACCACTTAACGAGCGGTGTAGAGTACATCGGTGCATCCCATGTACAATCATACTTACAAATCCGTCCCTTGGTGTGCATTCCTCGGAATAGTCTCCCCTTATTTGCTGTGGATCAGAAGCAAAACAGCACATTCTGTTACCTGAGTAGATGCTACTGTATCTCTTGTTGTTGCAGAACACTGTTTATGAGAGAACACGTCGAAATGAAACAGGTTCATTGAAATTTGACACTTACTGCAGAGGAGAGGGAGAATAGCAAAAGAACGCCTGTGGCTGTGGACAAAAGTGAAGGAGCCATGTTGCTAGCCTTTGGCACACCAGTTGTGGTGTTGTCCAGTTGGAGAATGAAGAGCCTCTGGCCCCTGATGGTATATTTATCAGATCAAGGTCCTCCTTTCGGTAGCAGATAAGGGGTCCGAGTGTAAACAGAGCCGGGTCATCCCACTCATGTCCTAGTAGATGACTCAATGTTGGGATAACGTTGTGACTCAAATGTCCTACTACTCATCCTTTCCCAGATGTGACTGGGATTGATTGACAGCTTTGGTGTGGTTCCTTCCATGGCTTTGTGATCACAGGGATAGTCGTGGGCAGTAGGTTCACGTGGTGAACTTCGTTGGGGTCAAAACAACACTGGGTCAACCATGTCATATCATTACCTTGCAAATTCCACTCAAACCAAACATTACCTTGCAAATTCCACTCAAACCAGTATAAAACATATGACAATATACTATATTAGATATTATTTTAGAGTGTTTTCTAAATAAAATTGTATATTTCTGACAGCTATAATTACTGAGTCCCCTTTAAGGTTATTTTAGGACCGCAATCACTCCTTAAGTTAGAGTCCTCTACCATTTGGCTGTTTTTGTGGGGAGAGTGATACACTATATATACAAAAGTATGTGGACAACTCTTCAAATTAGTGGATTCACACAGCCATGTAATCTCCATAGACAAACATTTGCAGTAGAATGGCCTTACTGAAGAGCTCAGTGACTTTCAACATGGCACCGTCATAGGATGCCACCTTCCCAACAAGTCAGTTTGTTAAATTTCTGCCCTGCTAGAACTGCCCTGGTCAACTGTAAGTGCTGTTATTGTGAAGTGGAAACGTCTAGGAGCAACAACGCAAAGTGGTAGGCCACACAAGCTCACAGAACGGGACCGCCGAGTGCTGAAGCACGTAATGCGTAAAAAAAAGCTGTCCTCGGTTGTAACACTCACTACCGATTTCCAACCTGCCTCTGGAAGCAATGTCAGCACAATAACTCTTCGTAGGGAGCTTTATGAAATGGGTTTCCATGGCGGAGCAGCCGCACACAAGCCTAAGATCACCATGCGCAATGCCAAGCATTGGCTGGAGTGGTGTAAAGCTCGCCACCATTGGACTTGAGCAGTAGAAATGCTTTCTCTGGAGTGATGAATTACGCTTCACCAACTGGCAGTCGAACGGACGAATCGGGGTTTGGCGGATTCTAGGAGAATGCTACCTGCCCCAATGCATAGTGCCCACTGTAAAGTTTGGTGGTGGAGGAATAATGTTCTGGGGCTGTTTTTCATGGTTCGGGCTAGGCCCCTTAGCTCCAGTGAAGGGAAATCTTAACGTTACAGCATACAATGACATTCTAGATGATTCTGTGCCTCCAACTGCATGACAATGCCCCCGTGCACAAAGCGAGGTCCATACAGAAATGGTTTGTCAAGATCGGTGTGGAATAACTTGACTGGCCTGCACAGAGCCCTGACCTCAACCCCATCGAACACCTTTGGGATGAATTGGAACGCTGACTGTGAGCCAGGCTAATCGCCCAACATCAGTGCCCGACCTAACTCTTGTGGCGTTAGTTATGTTCCAACATCTAGTGGAAGGCCTTCCCAGAAGAGTGGAGGCTGTTTTAACAGCAAAGGGGGGATCAACTCCATATTAATGTCCATGATTTTCGAATTAGATGTTCGACGAGCAGGCGCCCACATACTTTGGTAATGTAGTGTATAAGCTTAGTTAGTAAACAATGCAATTGTAAACAAAGGCTGTATAACCTTAAAACATGGTTAAAACTATAATTTGTATATTTACATTTTAGTCATTTAGCAGACGCGGATGGTCAGTCCTTTCACCCATAGCGCTGACTATGAATTTGAGAGTGCCAACATTTCTTCAGGCCCATCCCTCAGCTGTTTACCGAAACAGAGACGGTGACGGCTTTGTTATTGTTTAAACTGCAGATTGCCCCTTTAACCCCAAATCCTTCCTTTAAACATTAGGAGAGTACAAATAGACCTAGCCCAGGATCAGCAGTTAGGAACAACTTGATCCATCCTCCCTCAATACTAACAGAACTAGTGGGCACAGAGCCACTGCACTGTAGGCTGCCTCAAGCTAATGATTACCACCAACGCAACATTTAATTTCCATTATGGAGACTCATTTGTGTTAATATTACTAACCAAGTATAATCTGATAGGCAATGCTGAGGCAGACAGTTAGAGCAATCTTGCTGATGCTATTTTGTTTCTTGCCGATGATTGAAGGAGACATTGGTATGGATCAATGCTCTGGCATACCATAGGAGAATCTCAATTGCATACTTTTTGCGACATCTGGCTTTCTGATCCAATGGGTTTTGAGAAGGAGCTGAGGAGAGAGGACGTGAGGATTATGCAATTGAGATTCTCTCCATGCCACTCGAGGTAGAAATTGCTATTAACCACAGATCAGATAATCCTTGATCCCCCTAATGGTTAACAACATTAGTATTGGGGAAATTCCCCTTTCCCCCAATACTAATTTTAACCATTAGGGGGATGAAAAGTATCTGTAATGATCAAAAATGACCAGAGGGGTAAAGTAACTAATTACGAATACTCTCGTTACTGTCATTGAGTAGCTTTTCAGAGTACTTGTCCTTTTTGAGTCAGTAATTTTTATTATACCTGAGTAAATATTAATTAAAGTAACAGTACTACTTGAGTAGGATATTTCAGTACACTTTCCACCCCAGGTGAGTGAGTGAAAGAGGGAGTTTGTGAGTGAAGGAAAGAGGGAGAGAGTGAGTGAGGGAGATGGGGAGGGAGGGAGTGTGAATGAGTGAATGAATGTCAGCCGGTCACATAGACAGGTAACAAGTATGAGGGATTGAATGGGTGAAATAATTAGACGTTTATTTCTGAAGGCTGAAGTATACTGAAGTATACTAGCAACTTAATTGTTTATGTACTTTATTTTGTATAGCTTTTTTATTTATCAATACATTTGAATTGCTTTGAATGTTTAATTTATTTTCAAATGTAATAGTCTGTTTTTGACATCCTTAATCTTTTACATACAGATATATGTGCCTGGTTGCAACTCATAAAATAAATGAACTTTGTTCCTGCAGTACATTCCTTTCCTCGCTTCATTTTTCAATTTAATCCATGGAAAATCTAATGTGTAACTGTCACGTTCATTCATCGACGGGACGGACCAAGGCGCAGCGTGATATGCATACATGTTTATTAACGAATAAACACAACGACAAAACAATAAACAAACGATACGTGAAGTCCAAGGCAGCACAACACAACATACCTTAACATGGAACAAGATCCCACAACCCACTAGTGCCAATAGGCTGCCTAAGTATGGTCCCCAATCAGAGACAACGAGCGACAGCTGCCTCTGATTGGGAACCACACCGGCCAACATAGAAATACACATACTAGAATATAAACATAGAAATATACAACATAGAACATACACACCCTGACTCAACATATACGAGTCCCCTGAGTCAGGGCGTGACAGTACCCCCCCCAAAGGTGCAGACTCCGACCGCGCCACATAAACATAACAGGGTAGGGGCCGGGTGGGCATTCCGCCTCGGAGGCGGATCCGGCTCCGGGCGTGACCACCACTTACTCTCCGCCTCCCTGTTGCGCCCCTGGTCTGGTCTGGACCTCGGCGCGCTGCTTCCCCTCTCCTTCCTCCCACGAAGTACCAAGCCCTGTCTGGACCCTGGTGTGGGAGATCCCGAACCTGGAGAGGGGCTGACGTCTGGGTCTGGACTGGAACCGCTGACTGGAGCTGGACCCGACGACGGTGGATCCAACTGCCCTGGCTCCGGAGTGGAGCCGCTGACCGGAGCTAGATCAGGCACCGGTGGAGCGGACTGCTCTGGCTCCGGAGTGGAGCCGCTGACCGGAGCTGGAATGGACCCCGGTGGAGCGGACTGCTCTGGCTCCGGAGTGGATCCGCTGACCGGAGCTGGATCAGGCACCGGTGGAGCGGACTGCTCTGGCTCTGGAGTGGAGCAGTGGGACAGGCACGGGCCGTGCCGGACTGGACACACGCACCACTGGCTTGGTGCGAGGAGCAGGAACAGGCCGGACCGGGCTGGCGACGCGCACCACTGGCTTGGTGCGAGGGCCAGGAACAGGCCGGACCGGGCTGGCGACGCGCACCACTGGCTTGGTGCGAGGGACAGGAACAGGCCGGACCGGGCTGGCGACGCGCACCACTGGCTTGGTGCGAGGGACAGGAACAGGCCGGACCGGGCTGGCGACGCGCACCACTGGCTTGATGCGAGAGGCAGGAACGGGCCGGACCGTACTGGGAACACGCACCACTGACTTAGTGCGGGGAGCAGGAACGGGTCGGGCCGTACTGGGAACACGCACCACTGGCTTAGTGCGGGGAGCAGGAACGGGCCGGACCGGACTGGCGACACGCACCACTTGCTTGGTGCGAGGAGCGGGACTGGGTTCCTTTATTAACTCCCGTTCCTTCTGCTGCCTAACCAGCTCCTCTCGCCGTGCCTCTACACCTTCCTTCTCCCTTTTAGCCTCCTGTAGCTCCTCCCTCTGACCGAATAACTCCTGCTCCCTCTGAACCAATAGCCCCCGTAACATGGTGGCCTCCTCTCTTAACCTGCAGATCCGCCCTGTCGCTGCCTCCTGCTGCCTCGTCGTCCACACCGTGTGCCGCCCCCAAAAATGTCCTTGGGGTTGCCTCTCGGGTCTCTGTCGTCGGCACTCCTCTTCCCGTGAGGACTCCTCCGGGAGCCCCCACGAGTTAGGGAACAGACACTCGTCGTCGTCGTCATCCTCCGACTCCTCAGTGTAATACTGTTCCCACTCCTCTTCCCAAGGTCGTACGGACCCAATCTGAAACCCAACCGGGTGCAGTGGTCGGGGCTCTTCTCTATTGCTCCCCGACCACCCCTTTAGCCCCCCCAAAACATTTTATTGGGGCTGCTTCTCGGGCCTCCTCCTCGGCTGGCTTCCGTGTTGCCGTTGCTCCTCTCCTGCCTGGGCATCTACCTTCGCCCATGGCCCTTTCCCCGCGAATATCTCTTCCCATGACCACAATTTACCCACCTGTGACATGGCTATTCGCTCTTCCTGGGCACGCTGCTTGGTCCTCGTTTGGTGGGATCTTCTGTCACGTTCGTTCATCGACGGGACGGACCAAGGCGCAGCGTGATATGCATACATGTTTATTAACGAATAAACACAACGACAAAACAATAAACAAACGATACGTGAAGTCCAA